ATCCACTGTATTTGCGCAAAAGTTGAACTTTGAGTTCTCTATCTTCAGCTTGAGGATCCATGGAACATTCCTTGATGGCATTAGCCTCTTTTGGAGACCCACTTTGCCCAACAAAATCACTACTACTAACAATAGCTGATGATCATGCAGGCCACAAAATCAGAAGAGGCAAGAATATATAATATATGTATAACCTAGCCAGAAATATTAGTTAGTCAAACTTCATGAAAATGGTGAAGGGCAGTACACAGTTATTTTGATGAAGACACTTAATTTTTCTCCATCTTCGGTTCTTCACCTTCTGCAGTTAGTACTACTCAGTACCTACACCTATGTAATAATGGTCTGTTGAATTTGGTCCAATGGCTTAAACATGCATGATCAATACATGGCCATATTTGCATCCGTCTCCAACCGAGGATCAAAGGGCCATAGGGCTCGTTTTAGCCCTGTCACAAAACCGTCTCCAACCGATGACCAAAACGCCATAGGGCCAAACATAACTTATTATTTAAATTTAAAAACTACAACAACTTAAATTCAAATCCAAAAACTTAAATTTAAAAACTATAACTTATATTTTAAAACTACAACGGTAACTGGCCCAAAAAACCCAAAAAAATAGAACTTAAATTTAATGAATGGTTTAGGTATTTATAGGAGAAAAAAATTATAATTTTTAAGAATTAAAAAAAATGGCCCAAAAAACCAAAAAAAAAAGAAAAAAGAATTGAACGGTAACTAGCGTCAGCTAGCTAGCCGTTGGATTCAAAAATTTGTTTAAGCATTTATGTCGGTTATATCCAACATGATTGCTAGAATTTCTTACCAGCCCCAGGCTGGTTGGATTGGGCCAACCCTTTCAGATTCCGTGGGGCCCACGAGCCATCTGGCCTAGCCCTCGGTTGGAGACAGTTTTTAGGCTATTTTCAGCCCTTTGGCCTTCTGGACCATTCGATTAGAGATGACCTAAGCATTTGAAAATTAAGAAATGACATCTAGACTTGCTGAGGAGACCGCCTAGGCACCCGTCTAGCCCGTCCAAACCCACCTAGGCACCCGCCTCGGTTGCATCTCACTTAGACAAAATAGTAAACTTTCATTTTGCATTTTATTTTTTTAATAAATTGTGAGATACTTATTGAATATTTAAATGAACACACATTATATATCTGTTCCTCATGTTTTTATTATGTTTTAATACTTCATAATGTATATGTCATTTTATTTTGTAGTTTATGATAAAATTATATATATTTGAAGTATAGACACACACTTGTTTACACGAAATATAATACATTTAATTAAATCCGCCTAGCCGTCTAGGCGCTAGGCCCAATCCACCGCCCAACTAGTGTCTAAAGTCTATTAGAACCTTGGAAATAGTTGGTTGCAAATGAAGATTCAAGAAAAGATTAGAGAGATACCAGAATCTGAAGAGGAATTAGAGTGAAGAGTAAGAGCTTTGAGCTGGGTGTCAATGTTGGAGAGGAAAAGCATGGCTTCTTTGAAGGGTTCTGTGAGCTCTTCCTCGTACTTGGTCAGCATCTCGCAATACGCCTCCATGAACTGGTCCAGCGCAGCGTCTGGATGATTATCTCCTCCTCTTATGCTACTCCTCTTTGCTGCCTCAGAATTATTAGCACTACAGACCTGCTCTAACCTAGCCACCACTTCAGCAGGTGCCCCAACCTAGTAACAATTTAATATATCTCAATAGTTTTGTAATTAATCAATTTCTCAAAATCAACATGGACCACAGATAACAAGGACATGCAGAGAGAACTCATAAAACTGAAACCTTGCTAGCTACCAACTGATGACAAATAATCATTGAAAACAATATTCAAAAGTTCTACGGGGCAATGCAAATGTTAATACAGGTATCTGCAGATTAGATATATTCCTTTCATAGACCACAAATTCTCTTTTTTATTTTTTTTTAACACCTCAAGATTCTACTCATTCATTCTAAATGAAAGAGTGAGTACAGTGCTCTAACCAATTCGGCTACGGTCACGAAACCACAAAAATTGTGTGTAGTAAATTGGGTATGTGGGGGTGTGAGAGAGAAGATAGAGATACCTTTAAGCAATTGACATAGGCAGACAAGAGTTGAGGGTAGAGAGGATGAGCCATAATCTTAGCTTTCACGCTCATCTCCTGATCAATAGTCTCATGCGGATGGCTTTGTAAGTTGGGAATATTGTTGATCAAAGGTAGGGAAAGAAACTGCTTACTATAACTGCTGCTACTAGTAGTTCTGGTTTCTGAATTCATTAGGGCAGCGGCTAAAGAAGAATCCAGAAACCCTAAATTGCCACTATTACGACTGATTCCTCCTTCCATCTCTCTCTCCCTCTCTCTCTAGAAACCCTAATTTACATATTCTCTCTCTGTCTTCGCACTTCAGTGGCCTGGAAGTGGAACAGCGAGCTTTTTCTTTCTTTTTCAGAAGAGGACTTGGCTCCCGGTTTTTAAGCTAAAACTCGGACAGTCTTTGTGTACAGTGGTCGTTAGTCAAAAAATTACATGACCGAACCCTTTTCCTTCCCGATGAAATATTTAAAAAGCAATTTGTTTATTGTACTACTTTCCATTAAAGCTTCTGCTTCTGCACCGCACGTTGCCTTTCCCTTCGATCCTCACTCCACAGTGCAATTTATTTAATTACCACTGTAACCTATATCTGCTGTTTGATGATTGATGTGATCAAATGTTAACAGTCCATCTTGGTAATCGATGGTCGTCAGTCACTTTCCGTCAATCCATCCATCTGTGGTGATTTTGGATTTCCTTTTCCAACACTCTCTCCTCTAAAGAATCAGATTCATTCCTGATCTAAATAAATTAAGGCTAAATATTAAGAGATTCAGACAGTTGAAATTTGATTCAACGATTACAATTATTATAATTTTTAGATGACCTCTTATTTGTAATCGTTTGATCAAATTTCAACGGTCTGAATCCTTTGATCCTTAAGCTAAGTTTATTTGGGTCCGAAGGGGATCCGATTCCTTCCTCCATTGCCCTATATCTCACATCTAGTCTAGTGATCGTCATTTCCATTACACTTTATGTTTGGAAGAAGGAAATAAGTTTAGAATTATGATAAAAATAAAAAATTATAAATTAACATACACCAATTATCTTGTTTAGATTTATAAACTTAGAAATTTAGAATTTCAGTCTAGACAAAAAACTTAGAATTTGGAACCTCCAATTCTCAAGTTTAAATTCTATGTTAATAGGTGTCATTTTCAAATTTTTATGAGTAAGAGTTTAAAAATAATAAATTATGTATTCAATTTTCATTATTCTTTTAGGCTAATCAAACAAAAAAATTCACAAATTTTAAAAAATAAAATTTCGTCATCTCAATTTTTGTCATTTTAAAATTCTTTACTAATCTCATATTCCCTCAACCAACAGAGTATTAAAAGAATTCGAATTGAGTGTAAAACGTCAAATACATTATATATCTCAATTCTCTAAAGGTAAATTTGTGAACCATTGCCAGCTAAATATAGCCAAAATGAGAGAACTACAACACGTTGAACATTTAATAGTGAAAAACTCACCTCACCCACTCTTTGCATGCTTCACTGCTGAAAGAAGAGTCGTAAGTGCTGCTAAAATCCAATCATAAATGGGCAAGTTTTCAATTTCAATTATTCAGATAAGTGTCCATTTGTAATCCAATCATAATTTCATTTTTAATTATTCAGATACGTGTCCATTTATGATTGAATTTTCAACTCTTTTTTCAGCAGCAGCCGAAGCATGGTTTCTCTCATTTTATCCACACTTCCATGTTGAGAAAAAATATATTCAAAATTAGTTGAAATAGCTAGTGCTGTCGAAAATGCAGATACATGTCCATTTATGATTGAATTTTCAACTCTTTTTTCAGCAGCAGCCGAAGCATGGTTTCTCTCATTTTATCCACACTTCCATGTTGAGAAAAAATATATTCAAAATTAATTGAAATAGCTAGTGCTGTCGAAAATGCTAATTAAGTGATTATAGATGAAATAGTTATAAAATTACGACAAAGTTGAAAATTACGATATGGGAAATATTGAGATGACAATCTTGCAAATGAGGTCAAGCTTGCCTTTTGTTTCACCCACACTGTTTTAAATCCTATAAAGACACTCATTCTTTCCAATGTTACTGGGAGATTGGTACCTTGGGAGAGAGGATTAATTTTTGTGAGGATTTCAGGAATTTTTCAATCATATGCGTTCATTGTGCATTATGATGGTTAATTTTCGTTAAGTACTATTTATATTTAATTTTAAATAAAAAAATTTATAATGATTTCTAACCGCACAATGTACAATAAATGGATGTGATTTGAGGATCTCCGAGATCCTCACAAAGTCTCTCATACTTTAGGCCCTCTCATATATGTATAAATGTATCTATATAAATCAATAATATTACATTGAACAAGTGTCAAGAAATATAAACTTACACTATGTTTGGATGAGGAAAATAAACTTACATTTTGTCTCTCTCTTCACATAACAAAACTATTCTACGTTTTATTCCCTTTTTAAGGAGGGCGGTATTCAAACAGATAATTCAATTGTCATAAAATAAGTGAAGAAACATGAAAAGATAATACAAGTGAAGTACCGATTGAATAGCGGTATTTGAAAAAATCTCTCCAAACCTAAGACTTCGGGTACGAATGTAAATAATTTGTTGGGCATTGTGATAACAAAAAGAGCGTTAAAACGAAGGACTTGGATTGTCTGCCCTCCCATTTCAGTGCCCTCCTCGTGCCCTCCTGTTTGTGTGGTCACGGTTAAGCCACGTCAACATTTTATATTACTATTTCTTTTTGTTTTATTATTTTTATAAAAAAATAATATAAAATGTTGACGTGGCTTAACCGTAACCACACAAAACAAAATGGCACAGGAGGGTACTGAAATGGGAAGGCAGACAATCCAAGTCCTAAAAGGACACGAAAAGCATCTCATTTGGACTCGAATTGAAAAATCATATACTCCACCAAATGATCTGATAATTTCAACAATTTACCCATCAAACTGAACTTCGCATGCTTTGCAAAACAGATAGTCTACTGCATCAAAAGAACATAAAAGTTGTCGTTGATTTCGTAGATAATTTTCAAATTTCGTCGGTATAACAGAAATTCATCAAAGAAAAATAGATCCGTGCGAAGGACAGATGCACTTGAAATCAAGCTTGCGCATTGATGAGACGTGTTTGCAACCTCCTAGAGTTTTTGGATAATAACAGAATTGGCTATACCGGCTTGCTCTATGGTCTGGTCTATATCTGTCAGCTGTTTGGGAGGGAACCCCATCGTCTGCAGTCGGTAACTTCTTGTCCCATCAGGTCTTGAGGCATCAATAAAAGCATGGATGTCTCTGATTGTATGGTGGTAGTTGAAGCGGGATACCATACGCGTGCCATCTGCTAACCTTAGCTGAACAGAGGTTGACGGCAATGACTGATCCACAACTAAGCCCATTGAAGGCAATGGAGCGCCTGTAAGGGGAGGAGTGGCTGCAGTTGACTCAGTGGTAGCTGCCGCAGAGGTGCTGCCACCTAAAGTTCTTCCAACACCCTGAAAAGCAACATGCCTCTTCATGGGTTCCTGCAAAAATAATAAGCTCAAAGGGATCAGAAAGATTGCACCAGATGCATATTGATAACATATACTGAGAGAACGAAGCACAAACAGGATATTCTTCATCCCGCCTAGTAAGATTAACATGAACAGCAGTCCTCTTATTGCCTGGTTCAAGTTCTTTTGGGCACTCGGACTTCTTGATGCTCTGCATTCATAAAAACATAACATTTCCTATCAGCACTCAGAAGAGAGATCAAATCAAAGGAAAAATACAAAAGCAAAAAAAAAAATATCTATACTTGCAAAAAAAGGCGAAAGGAGAGCTACTAATCAAAATAATGAGATCAATACATGAGGAAGTAAATAAGTTTTGTTCATCATAATAGTTATGGTCGGTTTTATATATATGCAAATTCTGGCCTTATCACCTTTAAGCCAAACTACTCTTCTGTGCTTGAAATTCTTAGCTCAGCCAAACAGTTAATGATTGTCAATACGATGTTTTATACATAAAGAAAGCAAGATCACCAGTTGTTTTATACATTTTTCTTTTGGTTGTAGCTTACTATGTGACATTTTAGGAGCCATTATATGTTTTGAGACAACGGTTAGGAGCCATTATATGTTTTAGGAGTCATTTTAGCATTGCTTGACTAAGCCAAGGATCCGATCCCCTGATATAACATTTCAGTTTTGATATCAATGCAGTAAAAAGTATCCACTAAACCCTATATAGGTCAAGCATCATTAGAACTTACTTCCAGGAAGGGTGCATTTTCAGGATCATCCAGCCTCCGCAAAGGACCATCATCTACAGAAAACCCATTCCTCCAAAAAGTGATAGTGTGAACGATAGTTTCAGGCGGCTGAGGAGCAGCAGTCGGGACGGTCTCCCCTGAAAGCAATCTAGCTGTTCCACTGAAACTTTTGGAGCTTGAAGAAGGCTGATGGACATCTAGAGGTCCTTGTGTGGCCGCCATCTGCCTAGCTTGACTGAATATTGAATCCACATCGCTGCCTTTGGTAGGGTCTTGGACAAGCATTCCACTAGAACCAGCAACAACAGGACAAATTAAAACTAAAAACTAATTGCATGATTACAACATGAAAACAATTGCAAATTTATATACGTCAAAGATGGTTTACATCTGCACAAAAATGGAATTCCACAGATAGCTCATATAGAAACAAAAGTGATAATGTTACAAACAGAACCCCATTACGATATTACTCCACAACGTTCTCCAATCTAAAAATAATCTACTTGCACACCATTACGATATCATTGACAACAAATTGAAATTTTCTTTCTTTTGGTAGACTTGGCGTGCAATGGTATTCTACGATTTATACAACCGACCCCACTTAGTGGGATAAGGCTTGATTGTTGTTGTACTAACTTTGGTTTTTCTCAGCAACCAAACGCAACGAAGAATGAATGTTACAAAACGAAGAAAGAAGATAAAATGCATTGATATCACAACGTAAACATTCAGCATTATTGATTAGCTTTCTACTGTTTTCTGGGTTCCTAAACATAGGGTTAAAAGCAATAAACTATCCAAATTAGGGAAAAAATCGATCATTTTCCTGGGAACCAAACAAGAACTAAGAAATAAAGTACCTTTTCTCTCCACCAGTGTAATACTCCTGGGGTTCATCGGAGTCACTATCGGACCCGCTCTTTGCCGGCCGATTCAGATCGGAAAGCGTGCGTATGCCACGCGGACGACTCGCAGATGGCGGGTTGGCATCACCCTTGCTGTCGGATCCACTAGCGGCGGCGCGCTTCGATCGGAGCTGGTAGGGCGCACGAGACGCGGGCGACGGCGAGCGAGAGCGCGGCGGGGACTGCGAGGGAGAGTAATTGGGGGAGTGCGAGGGTGAGGGAGAGGGAGAGTGGGAGGCGGGGATTGAGCGCGGGGCGGCGTGGGTGGCCTCGGCTGCGTCGGGGACGGCGGCGTTGTTGTCCAAAAACGTGGAAACGGCGGCGTCGAGGTCCCAGTTGTGGGATTCAAGGAAGAAGAGGGCTTCTTGCTTCGAGGCGGAGGTGATCTCGCAGAAGGAGTTGACGATGGCATCATTTTGGGGATTGGATTCTTGAGCTTCGGCTTCCATGGCGATTGGATCGTTCAGTGTTTCGCTCCAAATCGGATTCCTTGATTGTTTTCCAAGACTTCCCAGTGAGTGAGATTCCTCAGAAACTCCAAGCTTCCGTTTTGTGCTCTACATTTTATAGGTGTAATGCTTCATGAAACGGCGTCGTGCTAAGTCGGTTTGCGATCGCAGTTGTGATTAGACGGCATGTCGTTTCGTGTTATTCTACTCAAATTAGTTATACACCATAATCCACTCAAGGAATAAAAACTAATTTTAAATATTCCAAGACCCACCATGCATTTCAATGCGTTATTATAACATAATCGTTTGGATGTGCTTTTAAAATGACTGAAAGCGCTTTTGCCAAAAATGTTTTAGAAACACTTTCAAATGAGCATATATTTTTAATGTTCTTTTGCTATCTAAAAGCGTTTTTAGCCTCTTCATACAATTGAATCCGACTTCTTTTCTAATTGAAAACTCGTTTGGAAATGTTTCTTAAATAACTGAAAATGTTTTTGGTGAAAATATTTTTGGAACCAATTCTTAGGAAAAGACAAGTACATCCTTCCTAGAAGAAGCATATATGAAGCATTTCAAGTGATTGTGGAACACAAAAACATTTTCTCTAAAAACGTTTTCGATCATTTTAAAGCACTTCCAAATAAGTCTTGAGTTTATTTGACCTAATGGAGACTCAAATGATAAAAGACTTTGATTACCAAAAATAATCTTAATATTTCATTACAAAAAGAGAAAAATATTGTATGATGAAATGTGCTCTGGTCTCATACACTTCCCAGAAAGAACACATGAACGGTGATACTATCTCTACATTCTTGGCTTGGATTAAGATAACTTTGACAAGCTTCGAGCACCGAGAAAAAATTTCATTCAACTTGCATTCTGCATGTCATCAGCCATTCACCTGCAAACAGGAAACTCCGAAATTAATAAACTTTCAGATGCAATTTTATAACGAAGAATACACAAACAATGACGAAGAAGAAATTAACATTGTTGAGCATTTAAGTTACGATTTTTAAGCATCGGGGTTTAGACGTACATAATTGTTACAACAATGAAGAAGAAACTAGTAGTCTGTAGAGTTAGGCTTAAGAAACGAATGTGCAGTTGAGCAAAGCTGCAAACTGCGAGCAGTAAGAGATGGAAGATCAAAGGATAACTTAATTACATTTTAATTGACTTCTCCGTGGCTGCCAATCTCTGATTGTTTTAGTTTAAAACATTTATATACAAGAATCTGAAGAAACAGTGATCTAAAGCTACATGCTTGAACAAAATTTGCAATGAGAAGTGCGTGACTCAAAGTGCTGTTGATTTTTTAAGATGCCCAAGTTCCTTCCTCCTAACAAGATACTATCATCAGATACATAAAACGTAAAGCTTCTCAACCACATGTGAAATGAATTAGCTTACAAGTTTGATTACTAATTAGATCAACGTGATTGACCAATCAAAAGTATCATTCTCTTCAAATGACAAGGGATAATGGTCACCATATTACAAAGCACAATTTACAGCTTTCGCAACTAAACATCTTTGGTCATCATCGATTCGCCATTAACATGGAACATAACTTACCACTGTACCAAAGGAGTTCATGTATATCGAGTGGAAGCATCCCCACTGTCGGGAAGGCGAGGAACCACAGCAGGTCCTCCCCTTACTTTTTCAACAGCAGAAGTAACCCTCAATGGCCGACCCAGCAATGCCTGCAAGCAGAACTACGTTAATCAGAAAATCTTTATAAAAGAAACAAACTTCGATCCATGACAATATAGTTTCTTCATAACCTTTCCATCCATGGCATCTTTTGCAACCTGTGCTTCATCTTCCTTGGAGAAATTAACAAATCCGAACCCTCTTGACCTACCGGAATCTCTGTCATACACTATCTTCACTACAATGCAGAATATGAACAAAGATTAATTCTTTTTTTAAGGAAAACCACACATAACATCCAAATCATTGAGAAATAAACTGGAAGTGATCATTGGGTCATTTTATCGAACACGTAGACGACTGATGAATAATTTGCAAAATTTCATACCGGGAAACCAAGATTTTACCTTCGGTGACCTCCCCGAATGAAGAGAAGGCGTCTTTCAATGACTTCTCGTCCACCGACCATGACAGTCCTGCAAAACCCAAAAGCCAGATCACCATCGAAACGATCAAAACACGAAAACTACATAAGTTTGGAGGTGTATTGTATGTATGGGGAGGAGTGGGAAGAGAAACCTCCAACGAAGAGCCGGTTGTTTGGGGGAGGAGAGGAGGAGGAGGAGGACGAAGACGGTGGTGCGCAGAAGAATCGCCGACTTAAAGTTGGATTTTGGATTGTGATTGTTGTCGATGCTCTTCGAGCAAGGAGCGTCCACAAAGTGTTGTTCCTCATTGATGGCATGATTAGCCGATGACTTGTTCCTTCTTTTGCGCGCTTTTGAGTTTTGAGCTGGATTTGGTTGAATTTTGAGGTCCATGCCACATGGGCATAAAGTTACTTTAGGTCTTAATTATTGAAATGCCCTTTAAAACCAACATCGAATCTCATGTTATCGTGCAAAACTCAAATAACATTATTCACTTCATTTTATTCTTTGAAACTCAAAAAACTTCACTTCTTAAAACACACATTGCGTATTTGTATCTATGCCGTCTCAATCTTTGTTTGACTAGAGGAGGTCTCGAGTCAACTCACACAAACCAAAAGATAATATACTTATATTATTTCAATATTAAGTTATGGCTCACCGTGACTCATTAAGAATGAATTAATATCAGTTTAAACGCATTACAAGACATCTAATTAAAATAATGATGATTAATTATTTTCCAAATGTGCTGGATTAACGTAACGATTCTTAAGAGCCCACACGTGCTCCATGCATCCACTCTTTTCATCTTATTTCCCTCCCACTTGTGATCACAACTAAAAATTTTCCGGGGACACCTCGTACTCGAGCAAGAGGTCTGTGCAGGTTGTAGGTTGTAGGTTGCAGTGGCTATCTTCTTCTCGGAGAATATGACCGCGTATGGAGAAGAAAGAAAATAGGGATTCTTCCAGCCTCTCTCCTCCTTGCTTCTGCCATGGTCTCATCCATCGATGCCACCCACTTCTCCTCCAACCTTTCTCTGTCGTATGGCGGGGCAGTACATAAGCCCAAATTTCCCCAAATTATTTCAACCACCTTAGTAATTTTTCTTATGGGTGAAATTTCCTACATAAGGTTAGTAAGATAGATATGATCTGTCATGGGTTGGTGAAATTTGGGGGTGGAGCTGCCATGGCTTTGAGAGAATAGGGAGGGAGGTCGTTGGTGGAGGTATGGTAGTTGTGTTCTTAGTGAAAGAGAAAGTTGATGTTTGGAAACTAGTAAAAGAGAAAAATGGTGTGTTTGGTTAGAAAGATAGTGGGAGTTTATGGAGAGTTTTATTTGACCGGTGTTTTAAATTTAGTGGTCCATGTTAGATAATCAATAACTTAGGTACTCTCTAGCAACTTATGAAACCTCGTAATGGACGCTTAAATTATGATTTTATAATTTGTAATATTGTTTTGTATATGATTTTTGAATGAAATGTATTATATTTAAATTTTCAATGTTGTTGTTGTTTATAAATTTTTTGACATTTATTATTGGGACCCCCCAAGTTTAAAATCCTAGATCCGCCACTGGTGATCACATTTCATTTTGGATCCGGTTTGCTTCTTTAGGGGAGTTGAGTAACTCAGAAGAGTGTAGAAACTACTCTTTTTATCGTCGAATCCGGAAGGAAGAAGTGGTTGTAGCTTTGAAGAAGATGAAGCATAGAAAAGCAATAGGCCCAGACGATATACCAATCGAAGTGTGGAAAGTTTTGGGAGAGACAGGTATAACATGGCTCACTGACCTTTTCAATAGGATTTTGAAAACGAAGAAGATGCCAAATGAGTGGCGAACGAGCACTTTGGTGCCTATCTACAAGAATAAGGGCGACGTACAAAATTGCATGAACTATAGGGGTATTAAGCTAATGAGTCATACAATGAAGCTCTGGGAGAGAGTCATTGAGCATAGATTGAGGCAAGAGACACGGGTTTCGGACAACCAATTCGGGTTCATGCCAGGGCGCTCAACCATGGAGGCAATCTATCTCTTACGAAGATTGATGGAAAGATATAGAGATGGGAAAAAGGATTTACACATGGTCTTTATAGATTTGGAAAAAGCGTATGATAGGGTCCCAAGAGACATTCTTTGGAGGATTTTAGAGAAGAAAGGAGTACGAGTAGCATATATCCAAGCTATAAAGGATATGTATGAAGGAGCAAAGACTGCCGTAAGAACTCATGAAGGCCAAACCGAAAGCTTTCCCATAACTGTAGGATTACATCAAGGCTCATCCTTAAGTCCTTACCTTTTTGCGTTGGTAATGGATGAGTTAACAGGACATATTCAAGATGATATTCCTTGGTGTATGCTTTTCGCAGACGATATATAGTGTTGATAGATGAAACTCAGGAAGGGGTAAATGCAAAGCTTAACCTTTGGAGAGAAGTGTTGGAATCTAAAGGTCTTCGCCTAAGCCGATCAAAGACAGAATATATGGAGTGCAAGTTCAGTGCAAATGGAGGCCAAAACGAGTTAGGGGTGAGGATCGGAGATCAAGAAATACCAAAGAGCGACCGTTTTCGTTACCTAGGATCTATCTTGCAAAAGAACGGAGAATTAGATGGAGATCTCAACCATAGAATACAAGCTGGATGGATGAAGTGGAAGAGTGCATCCGGCGTGTTGTGTGACCGCCGTATGCCACTGAAGCTCAAGGGAAAATTTTATAGGACGGCAATAAGGCCGGCGATGCTGTATGGCACAGAATGTTTGGCGGTGAAACATCAACACGTACACAAAATGGGTGTAGCGGAGATGAGGATGCTTCGTTGGCTGTGTGGGCACACGAGAAAGGATAAGATTAGGAATGAGGATATCCGGGGTAAAGTAGGAGTAGCCGAAATTGAAGGAAAGATGAGAGAAAATCGGTTACGGTGGTTTGGACATGTGCAAAGAAGGCCTACTGACGCTCCGATTAGAAGATGCGACTATGGGACAG